CTTTCTACTGACTAGCAACTATTAAAACTTAGATGACTGAAGTACTAAACCATGAGTGTAAATGCACTATTAAGACACAAAAGAAAAAGAACTAGTGTTCTGAGAATGTAATTTTTAATTGCTTATTTAGGATACTGTAAAGAGACTGTCCAATGATACTGAGCACTCTGAAGTATCAAACCACTTTTCAGTATCCAAAATCTGTAATACTGTCTAGTGATGAAGATATTGTGTTGTCTACATTAACATTATGTTATTCTTGGTACCTAGTATTCTTACTGCATTTGACAAGGACTGTTCAAGAGTTAATAGCGCTGCGTAAGACCCCTTTCTTTGGTCTGCAAACACAGTAAGATGCATTATCTTTGGAGTTGTGTTAGCTCTAGAGTTAACCACAGGATGAAGAGATGCCATCTCCGCAATGAACCTCCTTTTAGCACAAGGTAAACATACTTCCCCCACATCAGCCAGTCGCACAGCATTAGTTCTGCAGTGTGATTGATTGCCAGCAGAGTGTTGCTGAGATATGGATTTGTATCTCAGCTTTTTATCACCATGACTTGCAAAAGGCAGTTCCTTATTTACAGACTCTAGCTGTATTAAGTGACATTATTAGGTCCTACTTTTGTGTAAGTGACACAAAGACTTAGCATATTGGTGGTTTATGACATACAAGCTGTTTTAATCTGATGATTTACCCCTCACTTTTTCAATTTGTAAATAGGAGCTGCAGCACAAGAACATATGGTACTAAAGAAATTAAAGCTAAGGTAAATGGCATTAAAACAAATTCAAATAGAACAATAGGATACTCAATCTGAATTATAAATCTGAATCTGTATTATTAAGACTTTTAAGAACAGGAAATAAAAACCTAAATGTGAAAACTGACCTTTCTGTTGTTATTTTGAAAGACCATTTCAGGGGTTTACTGTGATTGAGTAATTTCCTTAACACTCATTACTTACATCTTACAGTTAAACGAATACATCAGTAAAGATATTTTTAATAATTATGTCTGAATACCACATTACTAAAAATTAGTTCTTTACTTTTTTAAATTTGGGGTTCACAGTACATTGCTTCTGATACAGTAAAAATATGTTATGCATTCTTAAATGTTTATTAAACATATTTGCTTGTATCTATAAACACCATAATTGAGCACAAACCCAAGAAGGAGCCCAGGATAACTGCCAGCCCAATGCTCATATTCCATACCAAGCATCAGTTGAAATTGAAAGAAAGATTAAGTTTCATAACTTTGTGACAGCTTACTCAAAGAAGGAATTTCATTATACTTTTCATGTAAATAGGAACATTTCTCTCATGATTATTCTGCAGATAAGCTCCAGCCTCTAGCACATGACAATAAGGGGTCCAAAGTAAAGACATTCCTTCTGTAATTAAATTTAAATTTAAGCATATGCTTAATTTATATCAATCAATTTGATATGTGGGATTAGTTCCATCAGCTTGTAATTGATGAACTTCATCAAAGACAGTTTTTTAGTACAGCCTTACACTTAGTGAACTCAGACAAAAATAATTTTTCTCATATGCTGTACTTCTTCAGCTAAGTATAGTGGCAAAAGTATTTTTATACCACTATAAAGACTTTCATGTAACTGCTAATGCTATACCGCATTGCTGCTTAAGTGAAACATCTCTTTTGAGAACAACTTGTTCAGTTTATGTATGCTTTTATTTTTCACTTTTATTACAGCTTGGAAGGCTGGTTCATTGTGGGTTTTGTCTGTTTGGTTGGTTTTTAATCTACTTGGTTGTTTGCAGTATCTCATCTGTGTAATTTCACAAAAAAATTGTAGAGCTCTTCATTCTCCTATCTATATATAAGGCATCATAAGAAGCACAGTCATGAATGAAACAGGATTGGAAACAAGATCTGATTTTAGCATTCTCTTAGGCTTCAGAAGAATCACATACGATAGTGCTTCTGAACAAAAAAAAATCCCTAACTTAAAATCTGTAAAATATGCCTGCACTGACGTGTCAATGTAGCCTAAGCACAATTCCTACTAACATGTCTGTAAAGATTCTCCTTCTGGGGTGAGAAGAGAAGCAGCTGCTTAGACATGGTTTCACTCTCAGCTACTTAGGTAGGAATGAAGCAGAAATTTGAACTACCTAATTGGTAATATTTCTGACAGCTGATGTTTTGTATTTACTGTACTGTACTAAGTTTGTAAACATGAGAGTAACTCCCTGGTGTCTCAAACTACCTCAAACTAAGTTTGCAAACATGAGAGTATCACTCCCCTAAACAGGACACAAGTCAGTCAAGGAAATCCGAGCAGTTCACTGTAGTAAGAACAACCCATCCTCTGACCTTCTAGACTCTGGAGTCGCTGACTCCAGAGGCAAGTATGACTCAGAGATTTCTCATTTGTGAGATCCTAGCCAAGGCCTTTCCTCAGTTTCAACAACCTTTCTTTCAAAAACCCAACTCATGTTAGTTTTTATCAAGAAAGTTGCAACAAAACAAACAGCCAGTTCTCTGTGCATCAGCTGCTGCTATTTGCTTTAGACAATCTTGCGTTCAAATTAACAGAAAAAGTGCATAGTGCAGTGAGTGACTAAAACAAGGAATCTGAGTAGGCAATTACCTTTTTCCCGCTCTGACAAAACCCATTTACTTAGTGAATAATCCAGCATCAGTTATGAGCACAAAGTGCAGATACCTACGTTGAGAATATACTCTTACTCTGTAAAGGAAGTGCCTCCTGAACAGATGGAAGGATATACCTCTTCAACTACCAGTAAAGACAGGTATGCACTAACAGATGAAACGATTCCATTTAGCGCGTTTCTCCCCCTAGATACAAGTAACAACGTAAGAACTAAGAAAGCTTGCATGTCACTTGGCTGTATTTCTGGACATTAGCCTTTATTTAAAACATACACAGGAAAAAAGGACATGGACTCTGCATTCCTCATCCTCTCACACATTCTGTATTAAACTTGCAGAAGAAATCTTGCACCTAGAGTAGAAACTGTTCTGCTGGATGTTCATTTGATCCCCTCAGGATTTCCAGAAAGGCTGACATCTATTGTATCTGTCAAGTACAAATCTTTCCTAAACTTCCTTTTCAGGACTTTTCAGTTGGGGCTGTTCAGCCCGGAGAAGAGAAGGCTGCGTGGAGACCTCATAGCAGCCTTCCAGTAGCTGAAAGGGGACTATAACAACGCTGGGGAGAGACTCTTCATTAGGGTCTGTAGTGACAGGACAAGAGGTAATGGGTTAAAACTTAGGGGAAGTTTAGATTGGATATAAGGAAGAAGTTCTTTACTGTAAGGGTGGTGAGGCACTGGAATAGGTTGCCCAGGGAAGTTGTGAATGCTCCATCCCTGGTGGAGTTCAAGGCCAGGTTGGACAGAGCCTTGGGTGACATGGTTTAGAGTGAGGTGTCCCTGCCCATGGCAGAGGATTTGGAACTAGATGATCTTAAGGTCCTTTCCAAAGGTAACTATTCTATGATTCTATGACTAAGACAAGTGAGGAATGAGATGGTCAAGGAAACTCAGTTTGTGTACACAGAATTCAGGTTTACCATTTCAGGTCATTCTGCTCTAGAAGTTCATATTTCAACTAAATTAGTACTTCCGTGAGAGCTAGAAAATGTCTTCAATTTGGTAAGAAAGGTGGGTTAGGGTTCTTTGGGGGGAGGTGGGTTTGTTGTTTGGGTTTTTTTTCATTTTGGGTTGTTCTGTGTTTTTTTTTTGGGGGGGGGGTTGCTACCCTGGTTAAAAGGTTAACACAATTTGATTTATGGAAAAACTAAGCACTGTGCTCCTCTTCAAAACATAATGGAGAATTAGTTCCTTCTTTCTGCCCATGAGTGATGTAAGTGTAAACATGAGCTCTAACAGTGCTGGCACTTGGTCAGAAGGCAGATTAGAGCCAGGAGCCTGAAATGTCTTGCCTCAATACTTGAGCAGAAAACACAAATTCAACCCCTCAGAACAGGCTATGAATTGTTTCCTTGCTTTCTGGTCCTAGGTCGTGACTAAAATCCAGACACTGAATCTAGACAGAATGTTGACAAGAGAATTTCGTCACTGATTTTAGTAAGGACAGACACCAGCTCCTTAATAGCAATGAAGCCGTAAAGACAGCCAGCTGTTACAGGATCTGTCACAAACAGTAGCTGGCTGCAATGAGTGTTCCATAAAATTCTCTACCTTCACAGCACAGGACTTCAGCTATGGACCAGATGCTAATTCTTTTTACTCTAATTGTAAGGATGAAGTGGATCTAAAAGAAAGATATTCTGTTGCCTTTTCAAGATTCAGAACACACATGCAAAGTCTGATATCTCCATAAGGTGCTGAACAGAGGTAATGGTCAAACATGCTTTGGGGAAAAAACACCTACAAAAAAGAAGCTGCTGAAAACATTTTGTCACAAATCTTAGCAAACTTCTGTTAAGTCTATCTGTGTAAAGACAAGTGAGCATTAAGAATATTCTTTCCTTTTTATTGTGTTACCTGACTTTTTGGACAAGTTAGGAAAATGACTACTTTTCCAACCATACTCAGAAAAAATGAAATATTGTTACACTGAAATACAGAGATACATTAAAGTGTAACTCCAAAAGCAAAATCCTCACAACTACTGCCGAGACAAAATCTTCGCGTAGTGTTTAAAAACACAAAGTTTTGCCTTAAGACCAATTCCTTGAGTCTGCCATTGGTACTGTGTAGGCAGAGGGTTTGAGAGTATTTGTCCAGAGAAGAAGGCCTAAGCGAAGGACAGAGCAAAACCATCATCTGCCTACACTTCCTAGAGAGACGAAAGACACTGAGAAAGACACCCTGCCATAAACAGTTTACAAATCACCTTTTACTGTACATATACAAGAAAGAATAATTTATGACTGTCATACTTTATGATAATACTCAAATATTGCAAATCTTTTACGGACTACCAGGCCTACTTAAATAATCATTACTTTACAGAGCAAGAAACTAATACTTACATAGCTGTGACTCTTTAGGAAATCTGAAGGGTTGCTTGTGCAGACTTTATCCCCTTCCAAGCCAATTACTCTTTTACAGATATTTGATTTGGGGTCATTTGGGCTTTTCACAATTACAATGTCTCCTCTGAGAGGAAAAAAACAGAAACAAAAAACAAACAGAAGAACTCTAAGTACAAACTGTTTCACTGAATACATGTATATACTCAAAAATTATTCATATATACATTAAAGATACTTCCTTCTGCTGAAAATTCATGTCTACAATTTTGATTTCTTCAGTTTTACTCTGGGTGTAATTTTGCACATAGTTTTTAAAGCACATTTGGAGAGATTTTTTCTTACTTAGATCATATATGAAACATTTAAGACTAGATTTTAATCAACAATGCTCTAATTAAATGAATGCCACTTAACCCAATCCTGTTGCTACATAAATATGGAACAGAACAGATTTTATGTTCATAAATGTTACTGACCAAACATTAATCTTTGAGTGGAACTCCAAATATCTGAGTTTCTAAGAACTCATGTTACTTTTGCCTCCTGATTATATACATTAGATTGTACAGTGAAACAGACCCAAACAAAATGGGCAAGGGCCTTGAGCCCACTGTGCTTTACAGTAATAAAGGTGCATTTGGTCACTGTCCTAAAAACCCAGCTGAGTGCAGCAATACCTATAGCTTGGTTTGCAAGTAAGACAAAACTGCTTAGGAAGGAGAAGTTACAGTCACACAATAGAACTGTTTAAGGGAAAAAAAAAATACAATCCATTTTTTGGACAATTGGCTATATCCAAAATGAATTCCAACAAGTTGTCTGATGGGCTATATGTGATGACCACCTTAACTTCCATCAGACACAGTGAGAGATTTATGAAAACTTACAATTCAGAAGCAGAGGCATGTATGAAAAATAAAGGACAGACAGAATGTGGTTATTGACAAGCTCTGGCAAATGGAATGTAAAGTCCAGTCTCAACAAAGGAGCATACTTTCGAATGCAATAAAAGTGGCGGCTAAGGTTCTCCGAAAAGACAATATCATAATTTTGAATGGTTGGTTCCATTGAAGGTCCAGAACACTGCAAATTAAAAATGAGACAAAAATTACTATTTCCAATTATTTTTAGGTAAAATACATTAACATTCAAATTATTTGCTAATAAATAGCAAGGTGTAATATAAAGATCAACTGAAAAAGTGAGGTCCTCCAAAGACCATCTGATACATTTAAAAGATGAGGACAGCTTCCAGAGCACCACTAAGTCTGTTACAGCTTTTTATGTGCTCAGGACCAGTCCTGAACTGCACTTGTGCTGGGGCCTCAGATTTTAATGTAGTACTCCAAGCAGGGTCTCACTAGAGCAGAGTAGGAAATGCTCTTGCTTCTAACTCTGGGCAGATCTCTGGATGTTTTATGTTCCCTGCCTCTCCTCCCCAGGTCTAAACTAGCAGATACTGCTGCTAGACATAGTGGAGTTTGGATGTGAGCTGCTCTTGCAGCTTCTGCGACAGTCCCTTTTTACAGAGCCTGTAAAACTGAACAAAGCAGAGCTTCAAGTACTGCTCCTACTAATGTCTGCAGATTAGGTGCTGAAATAAATCTGTAGGGGCTTGGTGCTCCAAGCAGGGGGTTGGAACTGGATGAGCTTTAAGGTTCCTTCCAACCCAAACCAGTCTGTGAGTCTATGATTATTAGTGACTCCAGTCTCTCTGAAAGAATTTTTGCTCTCTGAAAAATGCTTAATCATAGTTTCCCATTTGCTTCAGTAATGCCTCAAGCAGTAACTTAGCAAAAAATACAAATACCTAAAGTAGAAATAACTTTCATAAAGGCTGGACCTGCCTCAAAAAAAAAAAAAAAAAATTAAACACGCTTTGGAAGTTTTAAAGCAAATTAAGAAACCTAAAATATTTGCATTACCACATATAACAGTATCCGTCTTACAGTTTTATTTTCTTTTAAATGTCAAGAAAATGAAAAGTTACCACAACAATTCCTCCAAGGTACTCAAAGGCACAATGTGCTATGCAGCCATACTGCACAGTATACCCAAGAAACCGAAAGGTTTTTCCTAGGACATTTCGAAGCATGGTATAGTGTTATGTTGTTCAGCTGGTTCTGATCTACAGTAAAACAGAAGAATGTCATTCATTTGGTAACAAACAACCTAACATTTACAAAACTATCTTTTGTATCCCACAACTGACAGACAACATTTAACAAAACAAAAATAACAGTGAGTAAAACAAATAATCAGATGTATCTGAGAAGATTAATACAGTTTAAACTCAAATGCCAGCAAGAAGTTTTTAATTTCCTACACAGACCCATCCACGTGTACAATCAATGGACCCCTCTCACCAGCTTATTAATGAAATTTAGTTGAAGAGGACCTGAAACAAAAAACAACCTTTGCCAAACTAGAGAAATTAATGGGAGAGAACAGTGTCAGTGCTATCTGCTGACTCAGCTGGGATTCTTTTAGTCAAAACAGCAGACAGGCTTATCTGCCACGTGTCAAAATATGTGCAACAGTTCCAAAAAAATCCTCCCCTCCACTAGGTTTGGCTGAACGTAATGCGAAAAGCTCTAATTGTACCTTTAAATGCAAGATTTCCTTTCCTGACTGGACCACGTACTGTAACACAGATGCAGTTATTTATTAAATAACACTTGATAGAGTTGTTTTAATCACATGAAGACGGTGCAACTCAAATCACTGTTTGCCTTCAAGCATTAGCATTTAAAACTGAAGACTCAACAGCAAAACAGGGAAGTATTAAACCATCTGAGGTGATTTGAAAGACATTTCACAATTGAAATTACATTCACAGTAAACAAGTAATCAAGTAATCAACCAAAACTTTAAAAGCAACCTGGCAATCAATCAAATGAAAAAAGGTGTTAAGACCTAAATAAAATTAAGAGAGTCCTGAATGGCTTGCGTAAGTAAGACTATTCTAGGAAGAGAATACAACTGCAGACTCTGAAGGTTTCACAAACCCTTCGTTTGACTAGACTTCCATTACCAAAATGCTTGGCATTAAAACCTTTTGTCCTCAGCTACAATACAGTGACACAAGTTCTGCAGCACATAAGACTATAAATACCTTGACTCCCCCACATATTTAAGTCAAACTCTGATTATTAGATGTAATTCCTGCAATACTAATCTGTTTCCTTACTCCAATTTTAAGATTTTTATATATATATTTCTCTAAAGTGAAATACACACATACTGAGTATAACTGAAGCATTCTGCAAGAAATACGTCACCCTTAAACTATCAGCTTTATCATGAACTAAAACAGCAAGATTTCCCTCATTTAAGATGCTTGCTAAATAAATCCAGTTAGGTAAAAATAAAAAAATAAAAAAAAATATATAAAAAAAAGATGCTGTGTGCACAATATGCCCTTTTTAATAATGAAATAAAGACACACCCACCCCTTCTGTATTTCATGACATTTTGCTGTTTAAGTGCAGGGATTTAAAAGCGCATACCTTTACTTGCACAACACTCTCAGAAGTTAACTGGAACTTTGCCCGAATACAGTCAAAAGTGGCTTTTGTTCTTTGCATTTAGTACTTATTTATAAAGGAAAAAAAAAAGAGAGAGAGAGATTGCAGTGTTCTGTACTCAGCTCACTTCCGTATTCCAAAAAAAATAACATAAAACATCTCCAGAATAAATCATAGATTGGTTAGGTTTGGAAAGGACTTTAAGATCATCTAGTTCCAACCCCCACGCCATGGGCATGAAAAAAATCTGTAATTCGGCATCCTTCAGATTACCTAATAAACTCCACAGTAATGACCCCAAAATACAAAAGAAAACAAAAGTCTTGAAATGTTTCATTAGCACATGCAGTGCCCAGCATACTGCAGCGCACCATGTGAAAACTAAACCAGCTTCACCACAAGCAAAACGCTCTTTCAGCAGAATTTATTCTGGAGTACCAAAAGAGCGGGTGCTCTTCTCAACCCAGTAGGCTATGAAAAGCATAAACCAGCTCCTTGCTCTCAGCGCATGAAACACTGTGAGCCCAGAAACATATTCCAGGTGATAAAAGGAAGATGGAGTGACAACAAATCAATCTGAATTGCACAGCTAGTGTGAATTAATAACCACAACTATCTTGAGAGAAGTCGATCATCAATACTTCTTAACAGTATCTGCCAGAAAGGCCACCTTGCATCGGTCCTTGGTTGAGGCAGACAAATACTGCACAATCATCCTGTATTTCAGGTCCATGCTACTCAGAAACCTTATATTAATGTATTTAGAGTACAGAATTCAGGCATCTGTGGATATTAAAAGGAATTGGAGAAACTTCTCATGCCAACAGCTATAACTAATTTTTATTAAGAAATCAAAAACAATGGCTAGCTGTCTCTGAAAATGAGTTTCAAACTGATGGCAACTGATTTCCCCTTAGACTCTGGATGACATGTACCTCCCAATAGTTACAACTGAACACATTTGTTTCTCTCTGAGGTCTCCAAGTAACTCTGAATGAGGAGGGATAGATTTGTAAATAATTCAAGGAAACACAAGGTTCAGAGTGAGCTTTACCTACTGCTAGAGTGGTCGTGGTATAAAAGTCACCATGACAACAGAACATGAATGAGTAGGTTTCAAATTTGGGACCAAAGAGGTCCCAGTTCTCTTAAAACTCTTAAGCTCCGAGATGTGCATGTCATCACTCCCAGCTAATAAATGTGGCACAATGGACTTTTTTTTTAAAGGCTCAGGCTTATTAGATATTCATGATAATGATGAAAAGGCTTAGCTCTTATATAAGGCTTTGGATTTTTTTACACAAGGAAGTTAATTTCCAATTATGGCATATATATATATATATATATATATACACACACACCCCTAGATTATGGTTTGAACCTAAAAAGACAAGTTTTGAGGATTGGGGTTTTGTTTTAACATTAAGGTCCTAGATATCGAACGCAGAGTAACTACAATCATGAAAGTGTCCTCTTAATTTTGAGTAACAGCTTCTAGTTAATAAGTACATGGTTGTTCAGAGTAAGCCCAGTCAAAAAAACAAACCCAAACAACTAGTTTATTTTAAAAAATAACACAGAATATTTATCTTACAATTGCTCTCGCTTAAGCATCAGTAAATATAATTCTGCTTCCACAGAAAATTATTCATCAGTACATTTTTAAGAACAATGCCATACTGTTGACCACAAAAAGGCAAAGGGCTGAATGTTTTCCCACATCACACAATTTTAATACAAAGTGCTGCCAGCAGGCAACGCCACCAGATACAGCATAAGACCATTAAGCACAATAAAACAAATTATTTAAGTCACAGGCCCCTTGAAAACTTAATGGATCTGCTGTATAAACATCTTTATAGCAGAACTAACAGCGTAAAACCTATGGTAATTACTTCCAGGTACTATCACCTATCATATAGTAGGTAGCTTAAAACATTATACTGAAATAGACACTGTTTTTATACCACAGACATTGATTAAAAAAGGTTACACATCCGTATTTATCATGCAGAATACAATTCGTTTATTTTACAAGAACTGTATAGCTTATGTAAAATGTAATTACTGTTATCTTCTCTTCCCTTTTGCTTCCATAGCCTCTGCTTTCATCATTTGGGGTTTTTTGTTTGTTTGTTTATAAAATTAATCATAGCTAGCAGGGTGGAAATCACTCTGAGCCTCATGAATGACATCTAAGAGATGGGAAAGGATTAGTTCTCAGTTGCTGCCAGTTATAGCACCAGGTGGCTTTTTCTGCAGTGAAGGTGTTACCAATAATCCCATTACATTGGTACTAAATCTTGCAGACATCAAAATTATCACCAAGGTTCCTTTTCATCCCATCCTTTCCAAATGACTGGAAGTCGCTTCACCTGAAAGAAGTCAAATCCACATGCAGCTGCTGTTTTAGCAGCCAGCAGACTCCCCGAGAATGCCAATCGTGATCCAATTTTGCTGTGCTGGTGGCCCCCTATTCCCTGTCCAATAATACATCTGTTAAAAAATCCTATATCTACAAATCAAGTTTAATCCTACCAGGGACCTCATGTTGGTCTTGTCTTCCAAAAAGGCAGCAGGTTTTGCTGTCTATCTCTGCTAGCGTCTGGGGAATACTCTTTAAATCCCAGCCCTACTTAGAAGAATAAGCTAAGGATCACAAAACATGACCTCAAAAACCCTGATATGACTATATTCTGACCCAGAGGCATTCATTCTAGGTGAAGATTAGAACTTTGCATAATAAGATTACACAGCAAGTGAATGATATCAAGGGACTATCCATATGCAGCCGCCTGGTTTTCTATAGACAGCCTATGCTCTGCAATATGCAGTGCAGACGAAACAGAGCTCAGTCTTTCTAGCTGAAATAAAATAGATTCACATAAATTAGTTGGCCATTTCCAGATTCCTAAATCCCCTATTACAACTTTTATTGACAGCTCCTGTGAGGATAGCACAAATGGTATTCTCTTTGTATTCTTTGCTTCTGTACCAATCACACACAGAGGGAAATGTACATAGGTTGTCTAGAAATTAACATCTTGTTTTCTGTAATCTTGGATTACAATTAACTGTGTACATAATAAAATCAGGAAATCAATGAGCATATTTATCATTCCCAAGTAACCAATGACATTGTGTAACAGTTCACAGTTCAACACATGGTGCCAAAATTTTAATTTCAAGAAAATCAAAGTTGCAGCCAATGAAAGTGTGGCCAAACAACTTACTTGACTTGATATTAAATGGATTTTCACTACAATAAAAAACTTGCAGTCACATTTGCTTTATATAACACTTTCTAATTCTGAATTTTTACTGAATATTTAGTAATTGTTTAGCAATTTTTCCTTAGCTAACAAACTCCTCTCCTAACATTTTCCACTTCTAACCAGACACCATTCTTCAAACAAGGCAATCTTGCACCCATAAATTGCACCATCTCATTCCAAAGAGATACTCCAAGTTTGTTACTTTAAAAAAAAAGGCCAAAAAACTCAAAACAAAGAAAAACTAGGCCATTAGAAGACTAGGCCATTAAAATAACTACGTTTGAGCTGGTTTTGATGTTAAAATATTCTCCTAAAACTTCTGCATG